TCCAAACTTGATTGTCATACATGGACTTGATCTTGCGGTCCATTGCCTCTTTCCACTTAGCTAGTTCAGGGCATATCATGGCTTTCATGTAGTTAGTTGGTTCATCCAAATTTACCAGTGTACTATCACTGATAAACGTATCACCATCTGTAGTAATATAGAAACTAGAAAAATCAGGTAGCATTCTAACTCTATTGGAACGTCAAAGTAGTAATGACTCGTCAATTGGTTCAAATGGAATTTCTTCCTAAGGTTGAGCCCTAGCAATATTAAGAAGTTCCTTCATCGTTTGATTCTTGAATTTCTTGAAGATCAATGGTACTCTCACTGTCCTCTTTTCATATGAGCTCTTTCTCATAAAAAAATCCCATTCATACTACGAAGACCACGTTCTCACTAGGTTTGTAGAACAAATATCCAAAAGACTTATGTAGGTAACCAATGAAAACACATCTCTCACTTCGTGGTTCAAGCTTGTGGTGATTTTCTCATCGAACGAAAGCTTCACCACCCAAAACCTTGATATTTGTTAATGAGGGAACTATCCTTATCCATATCTCATGAGGTGTTTTGGCAAGTTTCTTTGTTGGAACAAGATTAAGAATGTGGGCGGCAGTCTCAAAGGCACAACCCCAAAATGAGATTGGAAGTGAAGTTTGACTTATCATGGAACGAACCATGTCTAAAAAGGCCTAATTACACCTCTCAGATACACCATTTAGTTGTGGCGTTCTAGGAGGTGTCAATTGCGAAACTATTCCACATTTCTTAAGGTAGTCATGGAACTCGATATTAAGATACTCACCGCCTCTATCAGATCTAAGCGTCTTTATCTTCCTGCCCAATTGATTCTCAACTTCATCTTTAAACTCTTTGAACTTTTCAAAGGTTTCTGACTTATGCTTGATTAAGTAGATATAGCCATATCTGCTATAATCATCAGTAAAAGTCACATAAAATTGATTTTCATCCCTTATGGAGGATCCGAAGGGACCACACACATCTGTGTGTATGATATCCAACAATCTTTCACCTCTTTCACAAATACCAGTGAAAGGTGATGTTGTCATCTTTCCCAATAAACAAAAATTGCATGTATCATCTGACCTTAAGTCAATTGACTCCTATACTCGATCCTTTTGGAGTTAGGCAATGTGTTCCTTATTTACGTGTCCATGATGACAATGCCATAGGCACACTTTGTGTATACCATTAGACGAATCAATTTGAAAAGCACTATTTCCTGAATTGTCTACAATCATCACAGTTTCTACCATCACAAGGTAAGGCTTCAAAATAAAAAACACCCTTTTTAAAAGCAGAAATAGAACCATTATGATCATTAAAAGAATATCTAAAACCTAGATTAAATAAAGCATGAATTGAAATGATGTTTTGTGTCATCTTTGACAAGTAGAAACAATTTTTTAAACCTAAACCTAACTCACTACTAAGCACTAAGCCATAACTCCAATCTTGGTTATAGGTGAAAATCGCCAATTCCACATGATAAAGTTCATCCTTCCATTCTCCATATCCTCACTTCTTTTTAGCCCCTGTTTAGAAAAAAATGTGAAACCCACATTCTGTATCAAGAACCCAAGAACGAGAATATGATGAGTTATTATATAATATAGTGTAAATACCCACCGATGTTGGCTTCACCTTTCCATCCTTGATATCCTGAGAGTATTTCAGGTAGCTTCGTTTCCAATGCCCCTTGTAATTGTAACAGAAGCAAATGGCCTCTTTGAGGTCTGAAATAGGGGGAGCATCAGAACTAGATTTTCCTTTGGGTCCTGTGCTTGACAACCCAACCTAAGACTTCCCCTTCCAGTTTTTCTTTGGAGGACCTTTCCTCTTTTTCCCTTTCCCTTGCCCTATGGCTAGACCAGGAGCATTAGCAGGAGTGGATGCCATACCTTTTCCTTTCATTACTGCTTCAGTTATTCGTAGGAGTTTGTGCAATTGTGAAAAACTAGTTTCATTGTTGTTCAAATGATAGGTCAATATGAAGTGATCATAACAACTTGGCAGAGAGTTCAACACTATATCGACTGCCAACTATTCATCAAAATCCATGTTAAGCTTGATTAGGCTATCTATGTATCGTTGCATTCTTTAAACGTGGCTAATAGCAGACTCACCCTTCTTCATCTTGCTAGTAATGAGGGACTTTACCATCTCTTAATTTTCTTGATGATCTCGCTTATGGTATTTCTCCATAAGGTCCTTATACATCTCACACGGATAGTAGGCGATCATTTCTATAGGAGTGGCCTTCTCTTTGTCGATCTCATTTAATGGTCTCTCGAGGATATATTCCTTGTCCTCAAAACGAAGGTCCATTTTAATGTTGCGCATCCAATCGTTGTAATTGGTGCCATCCAACTGTACCTTTGAGCATATATTCAACTGGGAGAAGTTGTTTTTGTTGGAGGAGGAGGAGGGGGAGTGGATAAGAGTGGATACCTAATGTCATTCATTTTATAGGCCGCTTCCTTAAACCCCCCTTATAGCACGACTTTGTGAATGAGACGTACTAGCAATTCGACTGACTTGTGTTATACATATATTAATATTATACTTTTAATTTTACATATAATATAAGGGTATATTTTTATATCTTTTCAAAAATACTAGGTTATATTTTAAATTTCAAAAAATTAAGAAATAATTTTTTTAATATAAAATTAAACTAATCATGAATTCAAGATAAGGATATCAAATTACTTAGTAAAATATTTAGGTTTACATTCTTAAAGGTAAGTATCCTAATCAATTAATGAGATAACAATAAAACCGAATTTTATGGATCTTATAGTCCACCACGTGGTGGTAAACAATTATCATGTTGTGGTTGAACAAAATCGTAGGTCACCACGTCCTGTTGAAAGTCATCACATTGTGGTGGCGGAAGAGAATGATGATTTTTTTTTGTTTCTCACTATTCTAATTCAATGATTGTAACAATTCAATAGAAAACTTAACCTACGCTCTGATACCACTGATGGGTATTATCCCAAACATAATTCCTATGTGTTCATGCTGTTGGATTAGTGTCTAAGTCCATAACTATTTTGGTATGTACTTGACCCGATGGTGCATGCTCCTTTTGGGTTGCCTTCACCAAAGCAACTTGATAGGATGAATTATGGAGAGAAGGATTAAATATGATTTATTAATGTATTATGAGAATAATATATTAAAGGAGAAATCATATTGTTTAATTAATATTAGTCAAGAATTAATTGGTAATTAGTTTTGTGACTGAAAGAGATTAATTAAACATAAGGGATTGGAATTGTAATTATAAGATAATTGCAATTTGGGCAATGGATTGTCTTGTATGAAGGAGTGGACAAATTCTATGGGGAAACCCATGAGGAAATCCTCCAAGGCCTTAAGGAAAGGAGTCCATGGGTTGCTTAGGGCTTAAGCATCCAAATTAGGGTTTCCTTGTTAGATAACCATAATAGCCTCACTATATATAGAACCCTTAAGGCTCAAAAACGTGGGGAACTTCTCTTCTAGGGTTAGAACACGTTTTGGGCAGCCTCCATCCTCTCTCCTCTTCATCCTCTTGCTTATGGTGTTTGTGAACCATTAGAGGAGTGACATTTGTGACTCTAAGCTTTCTAAAGTCAATACAAGGAGGAATTGGGATTGTTATTGCTACATAACAATCAAGGTAATATCCTGAAGCCAATTGTATGTTAATGTCGATTTCCACATGTTAGAATTAGGGTTTATAGTCTTGGATAACTTGCATGTACAATAGAGAAACCTAGATCCAAGTATTAGGGTTTGTATGAGCACATAGGATGTTCTTATGGCCAAATCCCATCGGTGGTATCAGAGCCTAGATAGGTTTCTATTGTATTGATGCCTTGTATGTTGAAAAAATTCATTTTTTGTGGTTCTGCACGATGGACTTGGCGAGTCCCACTGTGGACTCGGCGAGTTGCCCCTACTCGGCGAGTCCATGAGGGTACTCGGCGAGTTCGAGCGTCAGATGGAGCTATTTTCAGGATTTCTTGCTGTTTATCTTTGAGATACTTGCCTTTATCATATTAGATCAATATAAATCTGATTTTATGATATCTATGAGTTTATTCTTGATCTAATTGAAGATATTTATCAATTAATAAAATATTTGTTTCCTTATGTGATAATTGATTAATTATTTTGATTAAATTGGTAAATTGTTTTGCAAGAAATCATTAAATAAATTAAATATGGATAATTATGTGATTAAATGTTAATTTAGATTATTTGTTATTTGATCCTTATTGTTATGAAAAGCTTCATATTTTCCCTTTAGGTTTTACAGTTTAAATTTGAACCCAAAAGTTTTGTTGTTTTGAAATTTAAATAGTTGAAACCCTAATGTTTTGAAATGTTTCAAAACTTGCCCTCAAATTTTGGAATTTAAATTTTGATTAAAAGTTTAATTTTGATGAGTATTTAAATTCTAAACCCTAATGTTTTTGAAATGTTTCAAAACTTGCCCTCAAGTTTTGGAATTTAAAAGTTGATTAAAAGTTTAATTAGGAATGTTAAATTCTAAAACCCTAGTAACGTTTTGAAAAGTTCAATTCACACCGTTATGGTTTTATTAATTAATTAAGGTATATAATTAAAAGAGGTTTAATCAATGAAAAAAAATCATAAATGGTCCCTGTGTTTTCCCAGATTCTGAAGTTTAGTCCCTGTGGTTTAAAAATCTCATAAATGGTCCATGTGCTTTCAAAACTTTTGACAGATGGTCCTTATTGCTAACTCCGTTAAGTTTTATCCGTTAACTGAAGGTCATTTTAGTCATTTCACACCACAGGGACCATTTATGAAGTTTTTCTCTTATTTACAAAGGGCTCTCTCTCTCTCTCTCTCTCTCTCTCTCTCTCTCTCTCTCTTTGACGCCTGCTTCCCCCTACTTTGTTTCCCTCTCTTGAGGAAATAGTCAACCAAGCCACATTCCTCCATACGGCAAATCCCAAATGGAGTTCTACGCCGGCGACCTGGTTCCATGGCTAGAAAACCAGACCTCGAACCTTGCCACCGGATCCGCCAGCGCGTCAGTAACCATTGCCATGGATGCGTTGGTGCCAAGCTCCAACACCCATCTGCAAACGCTACGGTCAGATGCTAATGGCTCCGTGGTTCACCCAAATCGAAACTAGAAACCAAGTTACGATACATACTGACGCTTACAGTTGGATTTTTTGGACATTTAATTTGACGCTCCCATTTAGGGTATTTTATGGTGTCGTTGTGGAAAAGAAGGTTGACCGATCTCCTCCATCAATTTCATCAGGAACCACTTATGATTTCTAGGGCTATTCGAATTCATCCGGTTAGGATCTGCCTTCGATTTCATTATGAACAAGCACTCATTTGATTCTTGGATGAACACATATTCCGATTCTGGTACTTATAACTCCACTTCCTCCCATCTCGGTTTTCCGATCACAACCAAAACTTTCTGGTTCTTCTTCCTCAATATAAACTCAATGGAAATCATTTGTGATCTTTATTCTCAATGGTAACTTAAGAATCAGAATCCTAAATTCGAATAAAAAACTAAAATCATGTTTGTTTTTGTTTCTGTAAATCAATTTGAGTTAGTGTGTGGGTGTTCATCCTACCATAAATTGATTTGTATGTGGATGTTTATCTCTCACTGTTCATTCAGTTGTCTTTATATGTTGGGGGTCTTGTTATTCTGGTGTTCCGGTGACTCCACATATGAGTTTGGACTCTCCATGGGAGGTCAAATAAGGAAAAAGAAGTTGTAGAAGGTGTTTGGACTCAAAATTTGTTGTAAATTTGGTGGTTTTCAAGTTTAATTGTATTTATGTATGTGTAGTTTAAGTTGTAGGTCAAATAAGGAAAAAGAAGTTGCAGAAGGTGTGGTGGATGGCTGGGTTGTCACAAAACGAGAGGAGCAGTCTCTCTTTTCCGACGACCCTTTGTGGGTCTTGTTCTAGTTGTTGGCAGCGATAAAGCGAAGGGAAGAAGAGCAGCAGTGGGTCGCAACAGGGAAATGGGGCTTAGGCTGCTAATTGTCGGAGGTATAAGGTGGGAAAATGGGTGCTGGCAGTGGTGTTTCTTGGTGGTTTACCGTGGTTGAGAGTGATTCTTCACCAGTGGTAGTTTGGATGATTTTTTTACTTGTCAGAGAGAGAGAGAGAGATTATATATTAAATAATTATATTTAGTTTTTTCTTTTAAAAAAAAATAACTGAAAAGATCAAATGTGGTCCCTGTGGTGTGAAATGACTAGAATGCCCTTCAGTTAACGGATAAAACTTAACGGAGTTAGCAATAAGGACCATCTGTCAAAAGTTTTGAAAGCACAGGGATCATTTATGATATTTTAAACCACAGGGACTAAACTTCAGAATCTGGAAAAACACAGGGATCATTTATGATGTTTTTTCTTAATAAATCCATAAAAGTTTTGGTTTGCAATTTCATTGAATTAAAAGTATATTTATTAAATTTGACCACCTAGTATTTTAAAAGTGTAAAATACACCATATATATATATATATATATAATATATAATATATATATATATATATATATATATATATATATATATATATATATATATATATATATATAACATTAAAAGTCTAACATTATATATATGTATGAGTAAAAGTCAGTCTTACCGTTAGTAGGCCTCATTCACGAAGCTGGTCTATAAGGGGTGTTTAAGGAAATTGCCTATAAAATGGCGATTGAATGGGTATCCACTCTTACCCACCACACTCTTGACTAGTGGGGGGTCGTTAGTCGAACGGGTAGGATAGGACGAAACCTACCATTATAAGTATAATGAAATAGAAAGTAACTAAATGTTTCTTCAAATTCCCAATCTTAGTTACTTAGGCAAAAGTGAATTGATGTAATTCCATGAAATTACACTTTGTGCCCTTGCGAAGACGTTGGTGGAGCGTGTGTGGTTTACCGGCACACTAAATGGTTCTAAGCAAAGGTAGCAAAGGGTGACTCAATGTTTGTCATAGTTCGGTGGAGCGTGTGTGGTTTACCGGCACATCGAATATGTGACTGTAACATGTGAGGGCACCATGTAAGTTTGCATGGTTATTCACACCCGCTTTGTGATCCTCGGCATCCCAGTCACAAACAAGAGGGGCATATTGAGATTTAAACATGCCATTGAAATGTTCAATGAATCTCAAAGGATCTAGGAGTTTTCATAGATTTTAAACTTAAATTTCCTTTTGTTGTTCATGGTGGAAATTAGTGAATCGTCATTCACTTACCTTCAAATATTCTGCAAATAGATTACGGAATCCCTTTTCTAGGTTGAAGTGTATTGTGTTGGGTCCTAGCCTTAGTATCACATTTGGGTGATTTACTAAGAACTCAATCGATCAACTAACTTGAATTATTTTTCTCCCGTTTTGTAGATGTCAAAGTTCGACAACTATGGTCTTCCCAAATCCTGTGGAACATGCATTCCACATGAAGATGATATTCCATGATTCGATCGAGGAACAAGATATCATGCTTCACTTCCTCCACCTCCTCCAGTTGTTCTCCCTAACCCACAAGATCGAAGAATTGAAAGGTTCAACATCACTAAAGCCCTATTGGAAATGAAACATGAAGATGGTAAACCAGTGTGTGCCCACGTTCTAGGAATGAAATCACACATTGATAGGTTGATAATGTTAGGTGTGTCATTCCCAAATGAGTTGGCTGTAAATTGGGTTTTGCAGTCACTTCCTGAATCATATAATGAGTTCAAAAGAAAGTATTATATGATGGATCAAGACGACAACCTCATTGACCTAACTTACATGCTCATTGCTGCTGAATCAGAAATGATTTGGCGAAGCAATGGAGCGTATTTGTTGGGAAAGTCAACCGACCATGATTCCGAGGACGTTCAAAGAGAAGCGACCTGCGTTTGCTGCCAAGAGAAAGAGCATTGGATAGAAGTCTGCCCCAAAAGCCTGAAAATTCCAAAGATGGGAAAGTCAAAGAGTATGACTGCGCTTCAGGTAAAGTCCACTATCTAACTTCGTTAAGTTCCTATTCCTTGATTCAAAATACATGATGTGATAAGATTGCATTTGAATGTTTTTGCAGGTACGGTGAAAAGAAAGGAAGCTTGGTGAAAGAGCAAGATGAATCTAATCACAAGAAATGGATCTTGATCGCATGGACTTGAAGATTAGATTTTGACCTTAGATAGTTATGATAGAGTTGTTAGAAATTTTCTTTTTGAAATACATAGTTTTCAATGGATTTTGCATTGTAAGGACAAATATTTACCGATGCTTTTATAAATAAAATAAATTTTGGTTTGACTTATCTATTTATTTGTTTACTTCCTTGCAATGAAATCTTTATGAAAATTGATTTTTGAATATTTCTACAACAACTGGATATGATTCTTATTTATGGTGTTTATGGAAAAAGTCGAGAATTTACCAAATAGGGAGAGTTTCTCATCGCCCAAGTTTCAATTGGACAGAAATTTGGAATCATGTAACTTGGTTGCATGATGAATGAGAAATTTCATATTTGGAAATTAGACTAATTCATTGACAAAGTGTCAAGTGAAGGACTAGGAGATCGAGTACACAAAGTTGTGTGATGGTCAAAGTCCACCATAATAGTAACAAGTCATTCATCATGATTTACTAAAAGTTTAGTGAATATGATTATACTTATAAGATTAAGTGTAATTCGGAATTGATTAAAAAGGTTTAAATCAATAGCAAAACAAAAAAGAAGAATCAAGTAGGCAGAAAGATAAAAGTTTCTCCATTCTAAGAAGAAGGGAGAGTAGCTTTTATGCTTTATGATAGGTCTTAATGATTAAGAACCATATCTTAATTGATCCTATAAGTGAGTCTTAGCACAATTGTATGTCTAAGAAGAGGAATCAAGAATTGAAGAAATGGTTAAATCAAAAGGTCAATCGTACTTCGTTCCAATAACAAGTCTTAAAGTTAAGATTGTGACGTCGAGAAAAAAAAAATATTAATAAGGTTTATAACATTCATCAAATGTGGAAAGTTGTGATGTCTTGGATAAGACAAAGACCAACTAGGACCAATTTATGAAGTGTTTTGATATAAGCTACACTAACTCTAGAATAATTGTTTTTCAAGAAATGGTTATTGACAAGAGAATCTTATATGTCAAGGAGTCAGTGAGAGTCTTAATGGTCTTGAAAGGTTTCAAGAACAAATCAAATAATCCTTATCATTCATCACTAGCACACGAGTTAAGGTTTACAACCTATCGTGTTGATGTTATTTTGTTTCTGTGCTATTCCAATTGAGTTAATTATGCATGTGAGTTCTATGAGTTCTCATTTTGAACGCATAAAAGGCAAGGCACCTTAATCAATGAAAGGTACATTGATAGGAAAGGGTGAGCTGCTTAACTACTTGGAAGACATGGTGGGCAGTCGTGCCACAATAAGGCAAGAAATCAAGATTAAGAAAGTTCGATCCATATGAGTTTGAATTTGTCGTAAACTTTGGTTTTGACAAATTCACATGGATAGGAACAAATACACCGTTTAAATCTAAGTGTCATAAGATTTCCTCCTTCATGAAAATGATTGTGAGGAAATGCTTTCACTAAGAAAGATTTTAAGAAGATAGTGATAGTAAAATTGCATTCTCGAATTCGATTATGGTTACGGTATCCCTTTCCATAATTTGAATTGTGAGGTTTGGCAATTAGTCTTAAGTGTTTAGACACACATATGAACTATCTAAGGAAAAGGTGTATAAGTTCGAGAAGCCTTGATAAAAGATTATCAAAGCATTAAGTATTAGAAACATGGACTTAAGAAATTCAGTAGGTATTTTTTTTCTGAAAGTTAAGATGTTTATGAATACATGTCAAAGCTAGTGGGAGCATAATTGTTATGTTTATAATAATCATCATGATAGTGGGAACATAAATGTTATGATTGTATGATTATTAAGGCAAGTATTTCAAGTTGGCAATATTAATTATAGAAAACAAGAGTCATTCTTTACAAAAGTCGTAAGGATGGAATAGTTATTTTGCTATAATTAAGGGAGAGAATATTATGCTTCATTTAAAATCTAAAGGCTTAGGTTGTGGAATGTTAATAACTCAGTCAAAGAAACATAGTGTGTTCTTAAAATTTCGATTATGATTACGACATTCCTTTTCACAATTCGAATTTTGAGAACATAGCAAATAAAACATTATGCGTCGTGTCCCATACGCTTCGGGTATAGGATCGATTGCAAATGCTTTAATGTTTGACCATTCTAAAATTTTCAAAATGTCTAGCACATTTAGAGGGAAAAGGGACTAGAATCGGTTTTAACTAAAATAATTAAACAACTATCAAAGGACAATCCAAAGTTCGACGAGGATTGGTTGCTTATGAGTAGTTGGAAGCATGGTATTGAGTGGACCATATCGACATTATTATGAATAGAAAAGATTCTATTAAGAATGAGTTGTCATATGGAAATTATGGAAATGTTTCCATATTGGATGGACCATATCGACATCATTACGAATAGATAAGATTCTATTAAGAATGAGTTGTCATATGGAAAATATGGAAGCGTGTCCATATTGGGAATTGAATATTGAAAATCTATGTCTAGATTAGAAACTTTTATGCAAAAGGATGTTCAAAGGAATGTACTTTGAGGAGAGACATCATATCTAAGGAATTTGTCTTGTAACAATATCCGATAGAGATTTTGTAATATCATTGGCAATAGTCTTTGTGACTTTGGTGCGGTGACATTACGAAAGGATCATTGCATAAAATGTTAGAATCTAGCATATTCTATAAGTAGCAAGAATTTGATATTCTTTCACTTATGGAAAAGGATTTGGAGTTGTGAAATGGGAATGATTGGAAATGTGTTGAATTTGATCTATTTCACAAAGAAAGAACCATAGGTAAACATTGTGTGC